AATGAGAAATAATCAGAGTTATTGCAGATGGTAACTTTTTTCAATTTCACTAAACATATAAAAACTTCATAAGCAACTGAAATGTTTCCCACCTCTTTAAATTGCAATTTAAAGGCAGTGTATTCCCATTAGTTCCTGGTCTGCGTTCATAATACCTCCACTTTACAGAAGAAGAGTCTGGCCTTAAGCATTGCATTTTAATTGCAATTAAGGTCAACCGTTGCCTCGGATGAGCAAATGGTTGGAAATGATGTTAACTGTTTATATCACTACAGGCTTTAGTTTCAAGCCTGATTTATTTTTTTTGTTAACTTTCATGCACCTTATTTAAAATATTTTTCTTCCCTTGCAGCCAACTGCATAGTGTAAACATGTCAGGATTTAACCCTTTGTTTAGTAAAACTTCATCCAGCAAGCCGCGTCGATCTGTTATGAAAGATCAGCACGTTTATAATGAATGTACCATTGCTAAAGATTCAAAGTTCGAATCGGCTAAACTCTAAGTAGTGTTTGTGACAGCTGGTCAGTACACACCTTCATTAATATTTAAATATGGGAAGATTTTAAGTTTTCATGAAACCGACTAGATGTACTCCGAGTGGGTGGCGCACCATATGGTGTCAGTGTTCTGAATAACAGATGACCTCAGATCGGATTTATCTGCGGTGCAAGAAGGGGGAGAGAAAAGAAAAGGGAGATGGGGGTGATTTGGCAGCATTCCTCATCTAGCATTGATGCCAATAAAGCAAACTGGTCTAAACTGAGCAGAGTTGTATAGAGACTTTTTGCAGCCCTCCAGTCCATAGGAAATCTTTTTAGAGTGATCTATTAAGATTCTGCCATACTTTCATGATGCATTATTGTTTGCCCATACGGCTCATTTCACTTTGGTCAACTTTGGCAAATTTAAACATAGTAGTGAAGAGTGGTCAAGTCTGAAGGTGGAAGACATGAATAAAATATGAAACATTGTTCAGCTGCTTTTTGCTTTAACAAGATCCCATATGATCGTTTCATATAATTTTATTCCAAAGATGCATTAAAATAAAGCTACAGTATATTCACAGCCTGACGCACAACTCAAATTTCATATTTTCTTTTAATTCTTTATTACATCTGATTCAATTTTATATCTACATGATGAGTTATATTTTGAATCTAATAACAAGTCAGGGGAAAGGCTCAGGGAAGCTGTGAGAAAGAGCAAGATAAGGAACAAATATAAAGAAAGTTTGAGGCTGGCAGGAGGGGGCAGGGGGGTTGGGGGGCACAAAAAGAACACCTGTTGAGATTAGGGTTGGCACGCGACCCACTCCAGCTCGCGTGGCAGCTGTACCTCGCGGAAACAATGGCGGTAAAAGAATGAGACGGAGAAAGAGAGGGGGAAAGTTTGAATGCTCTGCTTATCCTTTCAGCCCGCATGCGCGTGTGTGTGTGCTTGTGTGTATGTATTTGCGTAACTAGGTGTGTGTGTGACTCATTCTAAAGTGTACACAGAAAAATAGAAAGAGATGAGGAGAGGGAGGGAGAGCTGAAGAGAGAGCAAAAGAGACAGAGAAGTCTGCCAAGAGACAAACTGTGAAGCCAAAACTAGGTGAAAGGTCCTATTTATTTGGGATTTAGAATAGAATAGGATAAAATAGAATATGACCTAAAAGGCCTACCAGCTGTCCAGTTGGGTGCTGCAGGTTTACATGAGTTCAACAGAAGTAGTCTAAGAGTAAGTTTTGGAAAGAATGTCCATCTTGTACAGTCCAACATTTTAAAAACTGAAAACAAACTATTCAGTCTGACTGATTGAACAAAAGTGTAAAGCATTTAATGTTTAAAGGTAGAACCACTAAAGAGTTTCAGCTGTAATAGCAATTTATGAGGGTAGCATATTTTGACCTGAATACAAAAGTACACCACACTTTTCAGACTCTTATGTGTAGTTTTTTGTATAACCCTGAAACCCCCAAAAAACTATGTAACCTCTTTCTTCAACTTTACAAATATGCATGGGCGGTTTTAAAAGAAGGCCAGTGACCCTATAAAATTAGCCTTGACCCCTGTAACGAAGACATAATAACGATTCAATTTCTTATAATATGCTCTGGCATATTACAACTAATTGTATTTGTTATGTTTCCAGTTTTGCTTTAATAATTCAAGTTCAATTTTTGCTCTCTATTGAGATAGGATCACAGATTTCATCTGCTAGATCAGGTTTCTGTAACCTGCAGTTCCAGAACCACAAGTGTTTGTTTTTATTTTTTATATTTTTTTATGTGTAGATTACTTTAAATAGTAAACAATAAATTATTTCCTTTTTAAAATTATGTTCCATTCCTATGTTCTGTGATATTATGACAAAACAATGGCCTCTCACTGCAACTACACCACTGCAACTATACACTACATTATGTTGGTGTATTATGTTAACATCCAATAAAATCCATTCTAAGTTTTGTGGTTTTTAAGATGACATCACTCAAGATAATTCAGAAAGGCACTGTGTATAACTAGTTGTGAGCATTATTGAAAACGAAAAAAACACGATAGCGAACCTCAACTATCCAAAAACAGCTAGATTTTTTAAATCAATTTAATTATCGCTTTATTCAGTGAAGTACTTTTCAAAAGTACTAAGTAAAGCAGAAACTAATGCAACTATCTTATTATAGTTTTAAGGGGCAATTTTTTAAAACAATTTTACCCTGCCTTACCTTTCTATTATGTAATTACTCTGTATGGAATCTCAGTCTTTATTGTTCTCTTTACGTGATATACCACAACCTGCCTTCATTTTCTCCATAAAAAATCCACAGTTTTGCTGCAAATAAAGTATTATGATATAAACCACTACACAATATGATTCCAGATCAAAATGTACATGTCATCACAGTTATCTACTGCAAGGAGGCTGTTAAATAATATCATTTCCATGGAGTGACATAAAAAAAAAAAACTAACTGTTTAAGATTACGGACATTATCGTGTTACTTCACCAGAACACATTACCACTAAACTATGTTTTCTTTTTCTACAAGTTCAATGGAAATTTGTATGTAAAGCACCCCTTCTTCAGCCCCTCCACTTCTATAGGACTCACTTATATGAAATGATTTCCTGCATTTCCTTATTTAATTGGCATTGCACAGCAGTGCAAGATTGCAAGTTAACGTTCTTATTTCCATTGCAGTTCTGCTCCATGAACACACAAATTGGAGCCCAATTACCCGTCGTTTTCCTTGGATGCACTGCAGATATGAGGCCATATTGAGCATAATTGCATCCAGTGAAATGCATCCAGTATATTGTTATTTTTTCTTACTGACTTCCCAGTTGGGGTTCAAGTCAGCTGTGCCTTACTTTTTACTAACAAACAGGAAATCTTACCATCTCTTTCGTCTTTCTATTATATGGGTTAATCATATCTTTATTTCTAACTTACATCAGTTGTTCTTCAGAGCATAGACGTATGTGGTAGTCCGTCTCCAGAAATCATTAAAAGTGAGTGTTTAGAATCAAAAGCTGATTAGACTAGAAGAAAACTGCTGTCATTTTCAAGTTAATTTCACTTGTTACATCCCCACCTTAGCTTGGAGCAACTAACCTCTTTTCCTGCCCAGCAGTTTTGCTTGGATGCTGCTCTGTTGTACAGAGGCATTATGTAACTCACCCCTGCTAACTGTTCTCGTTGCCCTGGCTTGATCTCTTTTTTTTACCCTCCACTAAACTCCGCAGCAAAGCCATGAACGGTGAGCACTTTTTGGCTCTGCGACGCCATCTAGCGGAATTTCTGCAAAGCAATGTGCACAAGGCTCTTTCATTTCATTTCTTTGCAGAGCAACGAATTATGAAATAAATATGAGGATTATAACTACTATTTTATTGAGAAAAAAACATGTGTTTCTTTTAAATTATTCCTTATATTAAGGTGGGATACTGCTTCAAAAGGCAAATTATAGTAAAACATTTTATTATTACGGTTTAAATGAAACCTATAACCTGATTGTTGACCCAGACTTTACAGGTTCATAAACCACCAGGTTTAATAAAATGTTTTGAAACTTTGTACACAACTTCAAACTCAGCTGTGTGGCAACTTGTGCGCAATTTCTTCTGCGCATAAGAGCGCCTTCCCACACCTGCTCTTGTTTTTGTCTCTTCACGGGAAAGTGATCTCCTCTCGCAGTTTCGAGCTGTGCGGATGTTTTGCAGCCTGGTTCCCCTCTCTACCCTTTTTTCTTCTGCTCTGTCTATTTGGTCTGATGTGGTTTGCTGGAGAGGGGCTGGTTATGTGACAGAAAAAAAAAAGCCCGCCCAGTCCCGCCTTGGAAGGAAAGAGAGAGGGGAGGGCTTCAAACCCTTTAGGCATGTAAGCTTGCAGACTTCTTTAAAAGCAGCCTGACGATCATGAAGACATTTTCCTGTTTGTGTGCCAATGGGCAAGAGAAACTCAACTGTTGAGCTCTTCCTTGTTTACAGTATGTGGATTAGTTATGCGCACCTGCAGGTGACAATAATTATAATAGTTGATCATCAACAAACAGCAGCAATTATAACAATGACGCCATATATTTACTTTATCAGTAGGATTTGGTTGCTTTTAACGCTCTTTAGGTTTTAGTCATTATTAGGCTATATGACTTCTCTATTTACCACCTTCCTGTATTTATATGTGAAAAATAAATGCTGCTTTTAACAGAGCAAAAGGATAATTGATTTCCCATATAGCAGAGCTTCTATATGTTAATGATAGACACATGCTAGTGGAAAAGGGGGTTCATAACATTATAAAAAGGAAGAAAAAAAATTCAAGTTTCTTGTATTCTGGAATGAGGTCAGACACGAGGCTTCTCATTGCACGCGCTGATTATTATTAGACTCCTTTTGGAGCCAATCAGGTGCGGCTGGGGGCGTGGCCTCTGTTCAGCAGCGTAGTGACAAGGTCTGATTGGTGGATTTTTATCGCTGTTGTATCAGAGAGGAATAAATGCAGGCAAAGGGGGGCAGTAGTCTGAAGGGGTGCTTGAAACAGCGACTGTTAGTCTTTGCAGATGGGAGGCAGGGGAGTGTGAGTTGCTCTAGCTTTTATTTTTTATTTTAAACCCTGCTTCTTTCCCCTATCGCAGCATGCAAGGTTTTTGACTCTTGGAGTAGATGCAGAGAAAAAGCACTTACTTTTACACATTATATACTTGGGAGCCCTTTGTAAGTGACTGAGTGCATGTGTGGGCACTCTGCATCTATAGACTGTGTTCAGTGATCACAAAGGCTGTGTGGATCTTTTTAAACACCATCAGAAACTGGAAATTAAACTTTTTCTTATGTATGTAGCCTTTTTAGGCAATTCTGGACTGTGTTTTCAACTATCCTGCGCATCTCAGGAGTGAATAACTGTGCAGTGTTTGCACTCAGCTCAAACTGTCAGAGTGGGAGAAAAGAGCTGAGTTTGCTTTTAAGTGAACCAGAGGAACCCAGAGGAGAGAGGGGGAGAAAGAGCAAGCATCCCCGCTCTCCCTTTAAACCGGACAGCATGGTGCAGAAAATGAGCCACGGTGAAAGCACCGCTGAGGCGCTGTCCTTCTTTAGCGGGGACTCAGGCTCCGACTCCGGGGCGTGCATGGAGCTCGACCCGGCCGCCTCTCCTCTCTCCCCGACGGGCTCCGCAGCCTCCTCCACTGCCGGCGAGAAGCTGGGGGACAACCCGGCGTGGTGCAAAACTCCCAGCGGTCACATCAAGAGACCCATGAACGCCTTCATGGTGTGGTCGCAGATAGAGAGGAGAAAGATCATGGAGCAGTCCCCGGACATGCACAACGCAGAGATCTCCAAGCGGCTGGGGAAGCGCTGGAAGCTGCTGAGAGACAGCGACAAGATCCCCTTCATCAGGGAGGCAGAGCGGCTCCGACTCAAGCACATGGCGGACTATCCCGACTACAAATACCGGCCGAGAAAGAAGGTCAAGTCGAGCGCATCTAAGCCTGGCAGCGAGAGAGGAGAAAAAGTTCCCGGTAGCTCTAACATCACCAGCACTAAGACGTCTTCTTCTGCGAGGAAGAGCGGATCCAAATCACCGAGCAGCAGCAACAAACCCCAAAAAACACTTTCCGGGAGCAGCAGTAGCACCAAAGCTTCACTCTTTGCCTCTGAGCAGCCGGCGGAGCTCCTCCATAACTCCCTCTACAAGTCCAAGTCGGTCTCCTCGGCAGCTAAGCAGATCCCAGACGCCAAGAAGCCCAAGAGGGTTTACGTTTTCGGAAACGGCGCGGCGAGTTTGAGCGTCAGCCCCACGTCCTCCGTGGTGGTTCCCGCCAGCCCGACGCTCAGCAGCTCGGCGGACTCCAGCGACCCGCTCAGCCTCTACGAGGACGCGTCCAGCGGCAGAGAAGGAGCAGACTCCCCCGGCGGCAGCAGCAGCAGCTACGGCGGGGCTTCGGAGCGCCGCAGCGCGCGCACATACAGCAGCAGCAGCCGACGGGCTTCCTCTCCGACACCCTCCGGCTCCCACTCCTCCGTCTCCTCCTCCTCGTCTTCTTCAGAGGACGAGGAGTTCGAGGACGAGCTGCTGGACGTCAACCCGAGCCCGAGCTTCGACAGCATGTCGCTGGGGAGCTTCGGCTCCTCGGTGCTGGACAGGGACCTAGATGGGAACGGAGAGTCCGCCTGCGGGGGGTCCCACTTCGAGTTCCCCGACTACTGCACGCCCGAAGTCAGCGAGATGATCTCTGGAGACTGGCTGGAGTCCACCATCTCCAACCTGGTGTTCACATACTGAGCAGAGGCAGAGGAGCTCCGGCTTATTGCTCGCTTTCACTACCCTGGAAAACTTCCCTCTGAAGTGAATACTTTGCCTTTTCTTTCTGGACTTCACTTCGGATGCCTGGACTGGGGGAGTTTTTGCCGAAACAAGAGTTTTCCTGGCAGCTCAGTCCTGGACTGTTTTGAACTGAATAACTTAACTGTGATTGATTTGCACGTTTTGCGGTCCGCCGTAACCTAATCAATGTCGATGAATTTTTGAGAAGGTGGAGAAAAAAAAGGGACATTTTCACAACTTTTTAAAACCAATCGCCAAGTGAATTTCACCACTAAAAAAATAAAATAAACAAACAAAAGGTACAGACTAGGACTGCCGCGCGACAGTTTTTTATTGTATCACCAAGAGGCTTTTTTAAAAATGAAACCGAGGTGGGTTGATGTTTTTTTTAAAATGTATTTTCTCAAGAAACAAACAACAACAAAAAACGTGTTAAGCATGATAGCCTACTTTGTTCCTATATCTTGTGCTGAGATTTTCTGTGCGACTGTTCAAGCAGTTTGTTAACTAGTATTAGGGGTATTTAACAGGATCTAGGTGGCGCTCGCTTTGGTTCTACTTTTTTATATATATATAAAAAAAAAACTGATATAATCACCAGCTCACTTCAGGACACAAACACAACTTCAAGTCTGTTTTTTTTCTCTATATGTATCAGGACCAAAATTCTATAATGTTAATTTCCAGATTATAGCTATAGAGAAACCATCTTTCTTTTTTTTTGTACATGTATTCAGATGCCATTTTTATATGGGGAGGGGGGGTTGTATTTATATACTGGGCCAAGCATCTTTCATTTTGTTATTTCTTGTACACATGATCCTGTCAGTGTCTATGTCTGTCACATTTCCTTCTCAGGCGAAGGGCTAGAGTTTTAAAGAACACACAACTTTTTAAGTTCCATTTTTATATTTAAATGTACACATTTTTGGACACTTAAAAGAGAGGAAACAGGTTGATTATTTTCTCAGTGTATTTTTGTACAAATCTATATTGAACACGGGGGTGTCTGTAGCCTAACTAACACAGCTGTATTGGATTTCCTTGTTTTTTTAATGCCCTCACAAGGCTGGGTTTTTTTATGCTGCCTTCAAGTGCTTATGGTAAGCTCGTTACTTAAGGCTCTTGCTTTAGTAGGTTAGATCAAGCATTAGAGCTAACTCTTTTATAACACTGGTGCCTATTTTTTGCTTATTCTTCTAAAATGAAAGGCACCCTGACACTTTTTGACAGAACATATATAATAATGTGAATCAGGTGGCCTGGCCTTATTTATCCCTTATCTCACACACACATACACACACCAAAAACCAAGAGCACTCCTAAGTCTTCTTTGATGTCAAACTCTTAAACATCTGCAGCACAGACGTAACACACTTTAAGTGATTAGAACATAATTGAGATTTTTCCGACAGCACTTGAAAGCAGCACCAGTCTCAACCCCCTTTTCCAACGTTTACAGTATCAGACTGCAGGCCCTTTTTTTCCCCTTTTTTATTTTAAAGACGCAGGAGTATTTTTTTTAGAGCCTCTTCCTGTGGGACCATGTGGTTTAAACAATAGCAGCATCATAAAAAGCAGCCACTTGTTTTTTTTTAATGTTATTATTTCATTTTTGCATCTTGTGTCCAACATCTTGAAGATTGTAGCTTTAAATTTGACTCTGTTTCTTGATGTTTTCTCTCACTGATGTCACATCTTGCCAATCGACCATTGGATTGAGGCGGGCTGCCCCATATTACAAGAAAACAAAGATGACAACATCAAGCATATTCAAATTTCCGAACTGAGTTGCGCAACACTTTCTCGTACTGCGTTTCTCATTGTATTTGAATATATAATCTTTTCTACTTGTCGGCTAACTACTAGCTAATAATTGTTTTAGTATCTTTATGGCATGGTGAATAGCATTTGTATTTCCGATTCAGGTTATTATTAGCTGTTGTGTTTTTTCAGAAAAAAAGAACGTGGAGGAGAAAAAGAGGAAAAAACAATGAACTTGATCTTTGTATATTTGACTGTACCATAAAGCAAAAAGATTGTGTGTTTATGTACGTCGTTGCTATCGAGGACAGGCACTGTTTAGAACTGCTATCTTTTACACATCCTTACTTACATTTAAGGTGGTCAGTTCAGACTGTTTTTTTTTTGTTTGTTTTTGTTTTTTTTATAAATATATAAATATATGAAAACATTTTTAAATATATTAACTTTATTTTTCATCCATCCTGTGCAATATGCTGTGTAGAATTATCATTTATTGTCTTTAATCATGCCATAAACAAAGAAGCCACCCCTTTTTTTCTGATTTAAAAAAGGGGGGTAGGTTGACTCATGCCAGCTAAATTTTGTCCATTCACTGCCTGTCAGATTGTTGATACAAACTTGTGTACAGAACTTTTTCAAGGAAGGAAATAAATATCAGCTGGAACTGAAACTCCTGAGCTCTTTTTGTTTTCTGTTGTGTGCATTTTTATTGCCAATTGCAGCAAAAAGTAGTTCAACTGTTACGTGCATAAGGCACCAACATTTTAGTTTTATGCATTTTGACACTCGTTTACAAAACTCCAAAAAGAGCAATTTCAAATGCAAACATCTTTAAACGGCAGCATGCTTTTTTGGCAGATGTTTTATCTTTTAATTTTGCTGGGTAAACAAAGACAGCTGATAGTAAAGCTCAGTGTTTGGATTAGGCTTAAGTGCTTTAAACTGCCAATAAGAAATTATCCGAGCAATGATTGAAAACTGCTTTAAAAAAGCCATTTCTGTTTGTTTTGGGGGTATGCTCCAAAACAAAATGTCACTCATAACGTCAACTCTGAGGGGAAATAGACTGAATTAAGAGCAAAAGAAGAGCATAAACATATTATTTTAATAAATACTTGATACTTATTAAGATTCATGACAAGTTTAAAGTTATGTGGGTAAAACTCAACTACACACCAATTCCCCACACATGGAATCAGTTCATGTAATAATCTCCAAAGGCAGCTGTTTTTATTGGTGCCAAACATGTAGATAAAAAAAAGCCTTTCATTTGCTAAATTAGCACATACAACAGAATACAGGTCTTTAAATGCTTTACATCTGAAAGTTCTCATATAAAGTGTCTAAAAAGGATTGTGTCATGCGATGGTACGGCATGCTGATCGCAGACCTACATCTCCCATGCCAGTGATTACATCACAGCACAACGTAACTCAGCTTAGGGGTTTTACAAAGAAAAAAGAAATAAACAACTATCTGGTTCAGTAAAATGTGCGACACTTATTTTTGACATCAATGAAGTAAAATTCTAAACATGTAAAATTGATCTGCAGCTCAAGGCGTTGCAAATTATGTACAGTGATGCTGGAAACTGTGGTGCTACTGTGTAAAAGCAGAAAATGGGCTAGTGTCACATGTTTTGAAGAGAATATGTTTGTTGTTTCCCTTCCCAACACCACATGACTGTATAAAGTACTTAATTTCTTAGATTTTCACAGTGTGTGAAGTAGCAGTCCATTAAAAGTGTCTCAACAATTTCAATATATATTTTCTAAAGGCTAAAGAATACATGAGAAAAAATGGGAGTCATAATAAAAATGCTTATTAAAATGTTTGGGCTGAAAGACGTAATTCCACCTTTGAAATTCACCACGTAGCAAATTAGATCAGGTTTATTTCTAATTGCTTAAGCAGGAGAAATTCTATTCTGTGTCATCAAAGCTTGCCATGCTGGGGTCCAGACAGTTCTGTCTCCCCTTCCCCCTCTCCCAGACAGGGTCTTATTGGGCGGGGGGGATGGGCATCTGCAGCAGCAGTCTGCCAAGGGCCCTCCAGCACTGCTGACAAGCATGCCTGTCTGTCTGCTGCCAGTGTGTTAATGTGTGAGCATATATGAGCTTTGCATGACATGCATGACACAGTATGTCTGGTTTTATAGAGCAGAATATGCAGATTGAGGGAAACCTTGTTTCTATTTTTTACAAGATATAGATGCACCAATCAAGCTTTCCTGACCACTATTGTGAGACCTACTGATCTTAAAATGTTATCCAAAGACTATAATCTAAAAAATGAAAATAAAACAAAATACATGCTCCATCTTTGATGGAGATTGGTTTGAATCAGCAGGAAATACAGAAAGGTTATTGGCTTTTATGCATCAGAGATGGCCAATCTTTTTCTGCTTTATTTTATTCTATTCTATTTAGAAAAATATTCATGTTATAGGGTGTCATTTTATTCTCCAACAGCTTTGCTAATTATCTTTTGATAATTTTGGATTGTGAGTCAGTAATATGATAATATTATGATCATATCCTGCTTATTTATCATCAGTCTTGTGTTATTAGCAGATTTTTATTCATACTATCTGTATAACTGATAATTAACTCATAAAATAAGATGACATCATTTTTTTGTGTACTCTTTCCGAGAAGATCTAAATGCAACCCTGTGTGCTGAGGTCCTTCCAGCTTAATGGGACCGTTTGCTATGCCGTCTGGTTGGGCCAGAGTATGAAAAAGCAGGACAAGCTGCTGGTTTAATCAGTAGTATAGTTGATTCAGCCTGGAAGGGATATGAGCGAGGTATGACTGCCTCTCTCAGTCTGAATGTCAGTTCTTTGGTAAACATGGAGGGCGCTCAATGGTGCAGAGTTGTGGGTGTTTCCTCTTACTGCTTTTTTTGTCTCAGGTTTATGCTGATGTATTTATCTTTAATTGCACCTTATCTTTAACATATTCTACGTTTTTCATTGTTTTACAAATAGTCTTGACCTTGTTTTTGTTTTTTTGTAAAAGATGCCTAACAATAATTTACTGTAACATAGGAGGAGGTTTGCTGCTGCCCTCAGTTTGTAAGTCTCTAAGTGACTGATTCTGTATAGGTGTTTTTGCAGGCTGACATTCACTCAGACAAAAACATCACAAATATAACACAAGCCGCTGTTTTTCAAAAGCATACAATGAAGCTAAAATCCATTACCAAACACATGGTTGGAAATGAGTGTTAAAACCTACGTATCACTGCCTGCACTTGTGAAGGTATCATACGTCTTTGTCTGCCAGTATTTTTGTCTTCCTCTGGGGCATGGGATTATATCAGCGAGTGCAGAAGAAAAGATTTACAACTGGGAAATCAGAGACAAACCTGTGACATCTTTTCTTACAGCTGCTTGTTTCTCCATATTTCTCTACTGTATTTCCCTGCTGGTGTGGTGTATGTAATAAAATAAAGCCATCACTGCTACTTTACCACATATATGCATGTTAACATCAACATTCTAAGCATATATGTTAAAAAGGTGGCTGGATTATTTTCACTTTCAATTTTGTTGAACAGTGCAATTTAAGGAAGATATTCTTAAGTCATCAGTTTTGATCAGTCATCTATTCAAAAAAAAAAAAAAAAAACATTCTCTGAGCAGGAATTGAACTCTAAATCAAATGCTATAAGTGTATACCTCTTCAAATTGAAGATTATTATGCAAAAAAAAAAAAAGCACTCCTCAGTTATTCAAATAATTTAAAAACCTTTCCCACTAATAAAACTTTATATATTGACAATTCCATAGCTAAATTTGTTAAAAGGATAAAAGATTATAAAATAAAGTGTTTGCCCCCTTAAAGAAATACTTTGTTGAAGCAGCTTTTGGTTTAATTTCAGCATTTATTTTTTGCTAGGAACCTTTTATAAGCTCAGACCTCTATCTCAAAGTGTTTGTCCACTCAGACATGGTTTCTTTCCAGACTGAAACCTGGACTAAACCAATTTCAAAACCTATGGAGTTATTATGTCACAGTGATACTGAAAATGTAAGTCCTCTTTTCTTTTTAGCTTTGCTGACACCTTTAGGGTTGGTTCCAAAACCGACTGTTTCATTAAAATAATCAACTTAGCTTATATTGATAAAAAAAATAAATTAATAACTTTATCTGAAGAAAACTAACCATGAAGGCCTTAAAATAGCCTGGCTTCTGATCAAGCAATACCTTAAAAAAACATAGACCTAGCCAAAACTTTTGAATTTGTCTTTAGTGTGTCTGTGCATGTGTGTTTTATATAATATTATCTAAATGGCTGATTGGCGTTGTCTTACACATTGCATAAATCAAGCAGCATCAATAAATTATATGCAAAATACATTAAATCCATGTACATATAACACTTTTGAAGAGATTTTTAATTGAATAGTAAGTTTAAAATTAAATCTT